TATAGCGCCCACTGAGAACAGGCATGGCAGTATCAGTTTTATTCATGTCTTAGTATATGCATGTGTGCATATGCCTGCAGAGGCCAGAAGAGGACATTGGATCCTGTGGAACTGGAGTTACAGGTATTTGTGAGCTGCCAAACCGGGGTGCTCTGCCAGAGCAGCAGACCCTCTCTCCAGCCCTTAGCTGTATCTTAAATTTGAGATTTGAGACAACATTTTGGGGATTAGGTGAAGTTTTATTTGTGATTTTTTTTTTCTTTAGGACTAGGATTAGAATCTGGGACCTCACATGTGTTAGTAAGCTCTCTGTCACTGGCTGTATCTCTTAGTCCTGCATGAGATCTGTAATGGACATCTTCCTCCATCACCTGGAGATGTTGTGAGGTTGTTTATAGCCAGTGAAAGAACATTCTTGTTGGGGATGTAGCTCAGTTGGTAGCGTACCTGCTCAAAGGCCTTTGTCAATCCCAAGAACCATGTAAAAGTGTGTGTGATGGTAAAATTCTATAATCCTAGCATTCAGGAGGATTACAAGTTCATCTTTGGCTACATAGGGAGTTCAAGGCCAGCCTGGGATACTTGAGATCTTATCTCACTCACACACACACACACACACACACACACACACACGGGGTACATTCTTAATTCTCTTTCATCCCTCTTTCCTTTCCCCTAGTTTGTGAGCCTTGTGGAAGGTCTCTTGTCCTCATCAGTATCTTTGGGGGCTACTGATGGTGGTACAGGCTGAGAGTAGACCAGGACGAACAGCAGAGTTAAGATCTTAGGAGCTGCCATAGACTCAGCAAGCATTGAGCTAACTCTGGTTAGTGTGGGGACTTACAAGAAACTAAGGGAATACAAGCCTGGATGTGGCCTTAGCAGGAGCATGACGAGGCTCTTGGGGCTGTGTTTTGTGTTGTGCATTTGTTTTTGAGACAGTTCTCCCTGTATCTCAGGCTTTCCTGGAACTTGTGGTCCTGCCTCCGTTTCCTGAGAACATTCATTTTCTTTCTTCCTCCTGCCCCTGCTGTTCCTTCCCCCCTCCTTCTTTCTTTCCTTTTTCCTCATCCCCACCCTCCTCTTTTTGAAACAGGGTCTCACTGTATGCCACAAGCTAGCCTCGAACTTATGCTCTCCTGCCTCAGCTTTCCATTGCTGTCATACCTGGCTTTATGTTTCTATTTTTCTTTTTGCCTTTATTTTCTGTTATTTCCTTGTGGACTTTATTGTTCAGATTTAGCCTCCCTGCATTGATTGGTCTTCTGCTTGTTTTCATAATTTTATGATTTTGTTCAAGTATATACCACCACTCCTAGGTTTCCATTAAATTAAATTAATTCTTTTTGTAAAATTTACTTTTTCACTCTTTGATGCAGAGTCTTACTAAGTCTTACTATGTAAACTGGACAGGGACTCATTACATAGATCAGACTAGCCTTGATCTAAAGATCATGCTGCCTCCGCTCCCCAGGTGCTGACATTAAAGATGTGAGTTGCCGTGCCCAGCTGCACTGATTTTTTTTTTTTTTATTTCACTATACTTTTAATTTGCCAGAGCCCCCTTTGTTTCCTGAATGCAGAGATGGCTCATCAGTTAAGACACTGGCTGCTCTTGCAGAGGACATGGTTTCAATTCCCAGCACCCACATGATGGCTTACAGCTGCCTGCAATTCTAGTCCCAGGACACTCTTTCCTAGCCTTTGAAGGCACTACATGCACATGGTACATGGATATACATACAGACAAAAACACCCATACACATAAAAAGAAAAAAAAAAGCACTATGTTCTTGTTTCTTGGGTGTATCCATCAGCTGTAAGTTTTCTTCCTGCATTGTCTATGAGTTTCTGTTTCAATTGTTAATCTTGTTTTCTGACTTGGAGGATTTTCTTCAAATATCTCTTGTTCTTTGACTGCACCTATTTAGCTGTGAAAAGCTGGGTGGGAACTTCTCTCTATTGCCATGACTCAGCTGAGAATGAATGATTCTGTTGGGGAGTCCTCAGAATTTTCTTCCCTACAACCCTCAAATAGTTCCAGGACCATTGGGTTTTCCACAAAACCCCTCACAGGTCTCCTTCTTGCAGACACAGTGTCAAGGGCTTAGTTGGAAAAGAGTCTTCTGGTGTCTGGGCATTCTGTGATAAACTTCTAGCCCGGGGATGATTGGCCTCTGTTTGACAGCTCAGATGGCTATCAATGTCTGGCTGTTGGGTTGGGATGGATGCTGGGAGGCTGAGAGGCCTTAACTGCCCTGTAGGTGGTGGAACGGCCCTGTATTCAGCTCCATTTCATGCCTGCATTCCAAGGTACTCTGCTCCTAGTCAGTCCCTGAGGTTTCCCCTCCTTTCCTCCCTCCGGTGGGCTTGTTTTCAGTGGAGTTGTGGGCTCTTAGCATTTGGTCTTCTAATCTCATCTATTAATGTTTCCTTCCACATTAATTTTCTAAAACTGTGTTGACAAGTCTTAACTGCTGTCATTTCCCTCCTCTGTTCTTGAGAGTTTAATTTACTTTCCTTGGCTGAAAGCTTATTTTATTATTATTCTATTTGCAGTATTGGATATCAAAGGGCTCACACATGCTAGGCAAACACTTTACCACTGAGCTACTATACACTACCAGCCTTTTTCTGTCTTATTTTGAGACAGCTTTGCTAAATTCCCAAGGCTACTTTTTAGCCTCCTGCCTTGGTCTTTTGAAAAGCTGAGGTTATGGGCATGTGCACCCAGTCTTAATGAGAATTGACTTTTCTCTTTACATTTTTGTTTATTTATCTTGTATGTGTACATACATTGCATGTATGTGGACATCAGAGGACAACTTGAGGAAGTCAGTTTTCTTTTTCCAACACTGGATTCCAGGCGTTGAACTCACATTTAGGTTTAGTGGCAAGTGCCTTTCTTTACACACTGAGCCATCCCGCCAGCCCAGAAAACGTATATTTTGATCAGAAGTACAGGCTATTATACATTTATGCTTACCACATTTGGACTTAATTCTATCACCTGTATTTTTTCAGTGTTGGAAATTGAACCCAGTGCCTCTAATACTTAGCTTATGCCCTAACCCTTCTCTTCCCAACCCCCCCTTTTTTTTTTTTTTAAAACTTGATAAAGTCTCATTCATTTCTGGATGGTCTTGAACTCTATATCACTATTGCCAAAAGTGCCTTGAATTTCTGACCTTCTGTCTCCACCTCCTGAATAGAGGATTATAGATGTGTACCACCATGCCTGGCTTTATGCCATGTGGGGCTCAAAAGTTAGACAAGCACTCTGTCAACTGAGCTACATCCCCAGTCCTCTTTAGAGTCTCAGGCTGGCCTTGAACCCATAATCCTCCTGCCTTAGCCTTTTTGAGTGCTGAGATTGCAGGAATGTGTCCCTACATGCGGCCACTTCTGTTGTTTTAGTTAGTATTTTACCTGTTACATCTTTTCTCTGCTGCTTTTCCTTTTCTTTATTTTCTTGTGTAGACTGAATTTTCTTCTCCTTGGGAAGCTATGCATGATTGAGTTTATGTATCATTCTTCTCATAGTGTAACTTATTAAGCCATACTTGACCTCATTATCTTGTGTCTTTGCCATGGAAACATGAAGACCTTTAGCATGGTCTCCTCTTCCTCTGCTCTCCCTGCTTTGATGGGTCCAGGCTATCCATACTCTATGACTGGTTTCTCTGAAGGGACAGGACAGCCCTGCTCATTTGCCATTGCTTAGAACTGGCAAGCTTGTTCTTGGGTGTCTTAGAGAGGTCTCAAGTCTCAGTGATGGTTTTGTTTAAAAGATATGTAAAAATATTTCTGAGTTTTTGTGTGAGGAGTAGGGATGGTAGGTAGGAGAAGTGAGACAGATGGACAGGTCAGTAATGCTGGGAACCCTGGATCTGCAGCTACTCCTTAGTCTTCCTCTTCAAGATGTCTGCTTTTGGCTCCAGCTTTGTTCTCAAGAGTTGTGCAGAGCATGGTTCCCCTGCTCTGTGCAATAGGGAGAAACATCCTTTCTGGGAAGGAGCGGCGACTAGACTGTGTGCAAAGAAGCAGCCTTGACCCGGCATCACCAAGTTCTTATCAAGCAGGAATGTAATCCAGCAGCATGGGAGCCTTCAGTGTTTCTCTAGCAGGCAGGAAACTGAATTTCCTGTGTGGGATCTTCCAACTTACATCCCTGCTTATATTCTTGTCCAGGCTACATGGCTAGCTCTGGTCAGACACTGCATTCTTTGCACAAAGCCCTGGTTGTCAATGATGCTGTCACCCTTTCGTCCTCATCCTGGATGAATGTTCTTTTCCTGACTCAGTGGTTTCTCCTAAGGTATGGCTTTCTACCCCCGTCCTTGCTCAGTGACTTCCCCCTGGGCTATTTCTCTAAGTCATGCTCTGTGTACAGGGTAAATGCCCTCTTTGTTTGCATCACTTCCTCAGTAATTGATAAGGTGAAGAAGCACTCATTCTCCCCATGTGAGGGCACAGACTTCATTTTCCCTGAGCCCGACATCCAGGCTTTGTTCCTGAAGTATGTGAGGGGACTCTGCTCTCTCACTGGGGCATGAATACTGACATAGTATGTACACAGCAGCTGTCAATGCCTTGGCCTGAAGCAAGCAAGCTGTTGGCATAGACTTAGGTCCTATGAGTCTCCTTGGCTGGCTTCTCCTGCCTATGGTAGGCTTGAGTTTTTCTCCCATCATCTGCCTTCCACTGCCTCTGGCCTCTACTGCCTGAGTGGCAAGTGGCTTTATATACTCCGAGGCAGTTGGTGACTCATTTTTCAGCAACCCCTTAAATAGGGAAGTGAAATGTGTGCACCTGGCAGGGCCTGACCTTTGAGTGACAGCGGAAGAAGCTGTGTAAACATGAGGTTCATTGCTAAGGGGAAATCCTGTTCACCACCAGGCTGAGGAGAGCATCTGCCTGCACTGGCCCTCATGTGGGCCTGTGACTCTAGTAACTTTTTTTCTTTCTCTCCTCCCTTCCCTCCACTTTTTTGGTGACAGCTGGAAGTCACAGTGGTAACAACCGAGAGAGCCAAACATTTCTATAGCCCTCAGGATGTTCCTGTCACCCTCTACAGTGATGCTGATGAATGGGAGGTCAGTGCTGGGCCCATTGTTTTTCTTCCAGCAGGACAGAGCTATCTTCCTTGCGGCCTATGGTCCTGGCTGCTGGAGCACACAGTCTGGGCTCGAGTCAGTGGTCAGGGCCATCTGGGCAGAAGCAATGAGGAAAACATCTGTCTAGCTTCTGGCCTGCGGGAGGCCTGTGGTCCCGCCTTCCTCAGGCAGAGCTCAGCTTTGGCCCAGTGCCTGGGGTTGAGTGTCCTTGTACTTATCTGGGCTGATGAAACCACAGAGGAGCTCTGTTCCCACCACCCTTGTCCATGTGGCTCCCAGCGTCAAGGCTATCCAGCGTGTTTCACTTCCCACGGCCGCTGGCCATGCCTCTGCCCTCCTGCAGAGGGGTGGGCATCAGCCGATTTGCCAGGCAAGCAGTGTGGGCCTCATAGGGCTGCCCTGCCAGGCATTTTAAAACATTCTCAGCCTCGAACATTTCTGGCTGGCTTGTCCTCCCCTCTCTCCCCTCCCCCTTCATTTCTCACCGCCCCAGAGCCCTTCTACTGGCTTGGACAACCCAAGCATCCGCCTCAAGCAGACAGGCCAGGAGTTCCCTGCCAGATGTCATTTCTCTTGAAAACCAAACCATAAAGGGAATAAGCTCAGAGAGACAAGGAGCGTTTGTTTCCTCAGGCCTGGTTTCTGTCAAGCTGCTGGCTCCATGGCCAAAGCTTGCCAGCTTCACTGTGAGAGGGGACAGTGGAAGACTTTGAGGGAGAGCTAGGTGGTTTCCTAGGGTTTTCCAGCTTATTTTACCTGGCCTATTTGGCCATCATCCCCTCCACACACACTGAGAGTGCCTGGGTTGATGGCCCCCGTTTCTTTCTTTTGGCAGATGTGGAAGCACCGCTCTGACCCAGTTCTCCACATCGACCTGCGAAGGTGGGCTGACCTCATGCTGGTGGCGCCCCTGGATGCCAACACTCTGGGGAAGGTTGCCAGTGGCATCTGTGACAACTTACTTGTGAGTGACTCCTGGTGTCTTTCCTCCAGGCTGGCTCCCACTTTGCTGAGCCACAGATTGTGTCATACAAGGAAATCTGTTACTGTGGGGTGAAGGTCGGTCCAGTAGCCCCTGCCCTTGTCTCTTTAGCAAAGAGTCCGAAGATCTGGGTCTGATGGATCATCTGGCTTTGCCAGGGCTGTCTGGGAGTGTCCGCCGCTCTCCTGCCCTCAGTGGTCAGCCAGGTGCCGCACCCTCAGCCCCCTGCTCTTCCACCCTGCTTCGCCACAGCTGCCCTCCAAGTGCACCCTCATCAATCTCCCGCCTTCATTGCTTCTCCATCAGTTCTGCCGTATTCTCAGTATCTAGAAACACATCGAGGTCTTCCGACAGAGATGTCTGCTTCCTCGTGCATCTCACAGACCCTTTCTCTATAGTCATTTTATCCCCAAAGCTAAACCCCAGTTTTTACATCTATCAGAGGAAAGCTTGGAAAGAAGGGGAAAAAAACAAACCAAACAACAACAACAAAAAACAGATGAGAAGTGATTGCCAGATTGGCATAATGCCTGTGAGACCTTGGAGCTGCCTTTTTTATGTGGTCATCCCAAGAAGGTCTCATGGTCCCCCTCCCTCCATTTCTTGACCTTTCACTTCCTATGTCCTGAAGGCTCATAGTGAGGACACAGAGAGCACTTTGTCTGGAGAGAGACTTATGGTCACCCGTGCAGGTAGGAACAGTACTCCATGGTGAGCACTACAGTCTTTTTTTGAGTTTTTTCAAGACAGGATTTCTCTGGGTAGCTTTGGAGCCTGTTCTGGAACTCACTCTGTAGAGAAGGCTGGTCTGAAACTCACAAGAGATCTGCCTGCCTCTGCCTGCCTCTGCTGGGACTAAAGGCGTGTGCCACCAACACCCGGCAAGTACTGTAGTCTTAAATGACCCCATCAGTCTGTGGAGCATGCTCAGGGCTAGGCACTAAGTAGGCATTTAGTGTACCACTTGCATGTGGTTAGGAAGTAATTTTCTTTCATAAATATTTTTGATTGAATTTAGTGTGTGTGTGTGAGAAAGAGAGAGGAAGAGACAGAGAGAGAGGAGGAGGAATAATAATAATAATAATAATGCAGGCTTGTCTCAAACTTGTGACAGTCCTGCCTCTACCTTCTGAATACTGGGGTTACAGGTGTGTATTATTATACTCAGCTCAGTTTTAGAGTTGAAAATGGTGAAGAAGTGAATATTGAATCTGACCGGGAGCTTTAGGAGATCACATATGAAATTAATGTTCTCATCAGGGCCTGGTGGCATAAGCCTGTAATCCTGGCATCTTGAGAGGCTGATGCAGGAATATCAAAAGTTCAAGGCCTTTGCGGGCTTTCTCTCTAAGTAGAAAGTAAAGAGGGCTGGAGATGTAGCAGCTCTTAGTGGCAGAATGCATGTGTATCGGAGTGTGAGACCCTGGCTCATTCTATCCTTGTCTGCTTATCAGGCTTGTAGCTCCTCCTCTGGGAAGTTGCTGGTGACTTCAGCATCATTAGACCAAGATCGTAGGATGGGAGGAATGCCACCTGATGCTGTGGCCAGGAGCAGATTGGGTTAGGACAGAGAAGCAGAGCCAAGTATAGCATGGTCCTCACTGCCCAGTAGGACTGGGGCCAGGCAGCAGGGCATTGAAACAGGTCATGCACCCCAACCCCTGGGCTCCCACTGGCAAGTGAGTAGCAGCTGATCTGGTAGAACACACCAACCTCAGGACTGAACCCCAGCCAGCTGTCTGAGGGTTCTTCCTACCTTCTGAAAACTCAGGTCTCCCTCCTCTTTGTTGTTGTTATCATTATTATTATTATATGCCAAGCCTTTACCCTTTTAAGTACAGCCTGTAGCTGAGCTGGAGAGATGGCTCAAGTGGTTAAGGGTACTGGAAGTCTTCTGGAGGACCCAGGTTTGATTCCCAGCGCCCACATGGTGGTTCACACCTGTTTGTAACTCTAGTCTCAAGGGATCTGACACCTTCTTTTGGCCTTTGTAACACGAAAAATAAAAGACCCAGAGACAGATATTGGGTTCAACTTGAAGATCAGGGAAGCAAAGCAGCCAAGCTATCAGAAAGCTCTTACTTCAATGTGGCTGGAGAATGAGTGCCTGATACTGAGACCTTGTTCCTGTCTCACATACCTCCCTGATGTTGGGGTTTAAGGTATGTGACCCCAGGTGCTGAGATCATCTTTGTGTGAGCTATTTCTCTTTAGGACTGGATCAACCTTGTGTAGTTTTAGGTGGCCTTGGACTCACAGAGATCTGTCTACCTCTTAATCCTGAGTCCTAGGATCAAAGATGTGCAGTACTACCTTCCTAGCTTCTGGCTGCTGGGATTAAATATGCGTGTTAGCACTGTCTGATCTCTGTAACTTGAGGCAGACTTTGCTTTTCTGAATCCTCAGGCAAGCTTTAATAAATCATAAATAATAATCAGCACAGGCCTTCATGGGCAGCAGGCACATATATGATGCACAGATATACATGCAGTCAAAACACCCACACACATCTAAAACAAATATAATCTCACATAGCCCACTGGCCTTGTGCTCTGAGGCTCAGCCCACTCCTTCCCAGACCACCTCATCTCCAGCATTGGAAAGGTGCTGGAGAGTATGCTAGATGTTGTTCGCATTCCTTGTCTCCAGGCCCTCAGCCTGGGAATGGTTGTCTCTGTCTTCTCTGGCCTCTCCTCTGCTAAACTGTCTGGTGCAGAAAGAAGTGGTGACCCTCTCAGTGCTGGTCTCCTGACTAGGATCCAGCCTCCTGCCCTGCCTTCTGTGTTCCCAGGGGCCAGGCTAAGACACTGAGCATGTGCCAGCCCCTTGGCTGTGGGAACCGGTGTTCTCTCTCTCCCCTCCCTACTGCTGGTTGTTTCAGAGGAGCTGTGGTTTGTCCAGGAAGTGCTGAGCTCATAGCTGAGCCCTGGGGAAGCAGCCATACAGAGGGCAGCCATTTGAGCATTTGCTGTGGTCTGGGTGCTGTGCTTTGAGGGTGCTTAGAACCCAGGCCAGCCTGTCCCTATACCAGACACCAAGGCCCTTCTAGGCTTGCTCACAGCTCCTGCAAAAGCAGCAGGTGGTACAGAGCCAAAAGGAAATGCGCCTGAAATTGTCCACTCATAGCCAGGTTGTCATACTGAGAGGAGTTGGTGGGAAACCAACTCTGGTGTCTGGAATGACGCAAGTGGCCAGATTCTGAGGCTGTTTGCTGTCCCAGGAGAGGGTGATGGCACTGAGCGACAGGCAGGCACTGGCTCTGACCTGTATGTTGCCTTGTTCTCTGCTCCCTTCTCTTTTCCCGAAAGGACTCTATTTCCCGGGAGGGGTGTCACAGCTGCTGTCTCCCCAGGAGCTTTCAGGAGGAGGTGCCCAGTGTAGTCTGAGCATAGGAGCCTATTTCTTTGGGAGGTGGTTCCTGACCTCCTGAGCCTGTATTAGTGCGAGGCCCTCAGTTAAGAGCTTTGATATGGGGTACCCACCTCTAATCCCACCACCTAGGAAATCAGGGGACTAAGAGTTCAAGGTCATCTGTTAAAAAACCAGTTTAGGGCCAACCTGAACTACACAAGACTGCCTCAAAAAACTACTACCATACCACGTCACCATCAAGTGTTCACATTCTTTCTTATTTTTATTTAATTTTTTGAGACAGGGTCTATGTAATGCTGTCCTGAAACTTGCTGTGTAGACAGACCAGGCTGGCTTCAAACTCAGAGAGATCAGCATGCCTCTGCCTTTCTGGGGCTAGGATTAAAGGAGTATGTTATCATGCCCAGGTTGCCCTTTTCTTTCTTCCTACCTACCTACCTCCCCCTCCTTTCTTTCTTCCTTCCTTTCCCTCCCCTCTCCTCCCTCTGCCTCTTTTCTTCCCTCCCTCCTTTCTTCCTTCTTCTTTCCTTTTGAGACAGGGTTTCTCTGTGTAGCACTGGCTGTTCTGGAACTCACTCTGTAGACCAGGCTGGCCTTGATCTCAGAGATCCACCTGCCTCTGCCTCCTGAGTGCTGGGATTAAAGGTGTGCACCACTGCCTGGCAGTTCTTTCTTTAAAAAAAAAAAAAAAAAAAAAAAAAAAAAGATATGGTCCTGGTATATATTCCTGGCTGGTCCTGAATTTGAGATTCTCTTGCCTCAGCCTCTAGAGGGCTGGGATTACAGGCATATACCACCACACCTAGCATTCAACTATGGTTTGATTTTAAGCTTGTATAACTTCAGAGTTCACAACCTTAAGACTCCAAGTTGGGAAATGGGGGGGGGGAGGATGGGTCTGAATTGGTCAAGTCCTTTCACAGCTGCTCTGCTGTGTGACCTTGGTGTGGTCTAGCTTTGGGAGGTGGGAAGACTGCAGTCAGGTGGGTGGTTACACAGGACCATGTTTGCATCTAAGTGCGACCTTGGACAACTGTTTATCTGTCAGGGAGTTGCAGCTTGCTCATCTGTGAACAAGGGACAGTACTTTCCTTATAGGGTCACGGTAAGGGACTTGAGATAATGGATGAGAAAAGGTATCATGTGTTAGATGTTTTCATTCTCTGGGTTTATTTGGCCTAGAAGTAGAGCTGTTGCTGAGTAGAACATGAACAATCTGGTTCCTAGCCTTCCAGTGAACAGTGAAGCTAGCTAGCCTCCTGCCCCCTAGGATTGATTGCTTCCCAGCCCTGCAGTTATGAGCCTGTGTGAAGGCTTAGGCGAGGAGATGGCATACAGAGTGGAGGTCTGTTGGAGGTATCTGAGGCATCATGGGTGCTGATTGAGTATCTCCTGTGTCTAGGACCATGCCAGAGCCTGAGGGGAGATGATGTTGGCTGAAGAGTCAGCCCCTCTCCTATTAAGGATGCAATAACAGGCCTCTGTAGATGAGTGACTCCCAGCCATCCCTAGTCAACTGTTTTGCTGATTGTGGCTGGAGTACAGAAGGGCTGGGACTTGGGGGTACTGAGGAGGAGCGGTAGGCGGAGCATCAGCACCTCTCTCCCACTTCTTTACAGACCTGTGTCATCCGGGCCTGGGACCTCAGCAAGCCCCTCCTCTTCTGCCCGGCCATGAACACTGCCATGTGGGAGCACCCTCTCACTGCACGGCAGGTAGGCCAGCTCAAGGCCTTTGGCTACATGGAGATTCCTTGTGTGAGCAAGAAACTGGTGTGTGGAGACCAAGGTGGGTGTCTTGCCATACTCAGCCCAGAGCTGTGGAAGGGGCTCTGCTTTGGGGTCAACTTTGGGCTCTGTGGTTCAGTGGTTCTCTGGCCCATTGTAACTTTGGTCAGAACTATTTTCTGAGCTCAGTTTTCATCTGGCAATGGATAGAGTGCTAATTCCTGTTTCTCAGAATCATTAGGCTGAAGTGAGACAGATGTGTGAAGTATCTGGTGAGTCCCTGGCAATAGAACAGACACTGTTAATGGAATGACTCCCAGAGCCTGTCCTGGGCGAGCTTGGAAGGGATGTGGCGGGTCTAGCTCGTGTAGAGCTGGACTGGGGTCCCCCAGGCCTAGGATGCGTGTGAAGTGCACAGGGGAGATGTGAGTGGTAGCCACAGGCAAGGTTAGCTCCTATGGTGGCTGTCAGTCACAGATGAACTTTGCTTCCAGGTCTAGGAGCCATGGCTGAGGTGGAGGCCATTGTGGATAAAGTGAAAGAAGTGCTCTCCCAGCGTGGTGGCATCTAGCAGAGTTGAACTGGGATTTGTCATCACATCTCTGCACCCTGTGAGTCCAACCTGAGCAGTATGAAGAGCCCATGTTAGCTGAGGAGGGACTGGCTTGCAACTTCAGAGCTCTGGTAGTATTCAGGCATCTGTACTGGCCTGCCCTTGGGGTTCTGGCAGGATACATCCTCAACTGCAGCCACGAAAGCACCTCCTGTGCACATTCACTACGTTCCCTTTTTAAAAGGGCCCTGTCCACCTCCTGTCTTTCTGTCTGAGTCTGCTCTCTGCCTATTCCTGTCTCTTCCCCCCACCCCCTGCCTCTTTTCTCTTCTGCTGCTCCTGTCCCCAGAGGCCTTTCTCTCCTCCCCCTCTCCTCTTTTCACATTCGCTTTCCCCTAATTAAAAACAAAACAAACAAACAAAAAAAAAAAACAAAAAACAAAACACAAAAACCCACTGTGTGAGGTCTGTGGCATGGCATCTTTCTCTCCTGATAATTCTTTATGACTTACTACTTTGGTTCTCTGACTGGGAAAGGCTCTCCTGGCACTTCTTCCTGCCCACAAGCAGTTTGAAGAACTCCAAGATCCTGGAACCTGGTCCACGTACGATAGCCTCCATAGCCTCGCTTGTTGAGCCATCCCCAATTCCCCACCTCTGGCTATTTCCCGAGTGAAGACTCTTCTCTTGACCTCATTAAGCCCTGGTACTAGGCGACCATGGTTCTTTTGGGCTCAGAGCCCTTGCCTCCCCCTCCCCCTCTCGTGACAACTCACTGTGTGTCCTCTTCCTGTCTTGTTTCTCTCAAGCCCTGGGGTCCTTCAGCCACTTTCCCTTGATTGACAGTCTGCTTTTTCGTTCACTGGCAGCTTTGTCTTCCATTCAGGATTGGCAGTTGGATCTCTGGAAGGGCTACTCACCTCCTACCATCCTGGATGTGACACTTCATTTCCCAAGCAGCCTTCCTCTCACCTTCTGGCTTTTCTTGAAGTTCTGGTACCAGGCGACTGTGTCTCTCTCAGGCTCAGAGCCCTTGTGTAGCGCCTGCACTACGATCTGTTCCACAAATCGGGCGAAGTCCTAGAGATTGAAATAAAGTCAAGACAGCTGGTCTTTCCTTCAGTGGCAATGTCGGAACACCAAATGCTGAATACCGTTTATTGAGGGGAAAGAATGTGCTTAAATTATAGGAATTTTAGGCTTAGCTCCTCCCTATGAGGTGTGTGTTATCAAAACGGGAAGAGTACCAACAACAGCCTTGGGGCAAGGGATTCCAGCCAACAGCTGAAGGTGCCTCAGGGGTCCATGCAGGGGCCTGCACCCTTGGCCCCCACCCTTTGTGTAAATATGCTCTCTGAATTCCTGGGACACTAGGAATTGCAGATCCTTGGACCTTACTTCTCTGCCTTGCTCATGGGACTGTATCATTGTCTCTGTACTCCTTGCTCCCACTGACCCATTCATAATCAGGTATTGTTTCAGGACTACCAGCTGTTGCCCATAGAGCTGGAGGCCCTAGACCGCCAAACATGTCCAGGTGATGCTGTGGTAATGGGAAAGGATCAGGTGCTTTAAGCCCTAGGGAGTCAACTTGAATCTACCAAGAACAGTGTTTTGGCAGGTCCGGGCAGCACCTGAAGGGAAACAGCCAGCTACTCCAGGATGTGGCCAGCACCCCAGCTTTCCCAGGTCCCCCAAAGATGAATGACAAATGACACCACCCCAGGTCAGCAGGAAGTAGTCTTGAGAACACTGCATCCTCTTCCCCACCTCACCTGCTACCCCTTTCTAACTCCTCACATTTTTTTTTTTTTTTTTTAATAAAAAGGGAGGAATTAGTATTCAGACATCTGCACTGGCCTGCCTTTGGGGTTCTGGCAGGATATGTCCTCAGGGGCAGCCACTAAAGGCACCTCCTGTGCACATTTACTTTCTTCCCTTTATAAAAAGGGCCCTGCCCACCTCCCATCTCTCTCTCTCTCTCTCTCTCTCTCCTTCTTTGCCTGTCTCTCTGTTGTGCTCCTATCTCCCGAGGCTGATATCCCCCCTCTCCTCCCCCACTTTTCCCATTCCCTTTCCCCTAATTAAAAACAAACAAGCCCTCTATGTGAGGTCTGTGGCATGGTGTCTTTTTCTCTCGAACCACTCCTTTTTTTTTTTTTTTTTTCATTTTTAAATAAATTACAACAAGCTTCCCTGGGATCTAATCCTTTTCAAGTTAAACAGAACTACAGACCCAGGTCCTACCTTCTTTCAACTAGGAGATGCCTGCTTTCCAGAGGCCATTTCATTTCTTCCTGGGATAGGCCCAGCAAGCTAGGCAAACATGTTCCTCCTGGAAGGATAATTCAATGACTGAGGGACCTCCTGCCTGGAATTGCTCCTAGAAACACCATGGCTGAAGCTGGGCACAGTGGCTCATGTCTGTAACCCTAACATTCAGAAGGCTGAAGCAGGGTTGCCACAACTTTGCAGTTGGCTTGGGCTACATAGTGAGCCAAGCCTGTGAGTGTGACAGCCTATTTCAAAACCAAAGCAACAAGAAGAAACACCATAGCCCAAGATCCCTGGCACAGCAGGTTCCATTCTTTGGTGGCCAGGTGTCACAGGGGGTCAAGAAGTCTGAGGTGCAAGGCTTTTCACATTTCCCACAGACTGTACTGAGCCTGAAGGGGGGTCAGGTATGGTTCTGGGAAATAAAGAAAAACAACTTTTTAGGAGACTCTGTCCTCCTTTACATCCTATCTGTGGCCTCAGAGGACGGGCGCATGGCCAAGTGAGGCCAGAGGAGGTTTTGGGCTGACACCTGGCTAGCACTCCCACGTTCCTGTGCAACATGGGTGACTAAGGACAGAGCTCCTGAAGCAGACAGCTCGAATTCAAATCTCAGTTCTGCCAGTGAGCCTTGACTGTCCCTCACTTTCCCATCTGTATGGTTATTCTTCCAGAATAGAGCTGTTAAGAGGATTAAGTAAGGTGTATGTGAAAAGTATGTCTTTTAAAATCACAGGGGATACATTGCATGGTTCCCAGTAGATTACTGAAGCCATAGTACAGAACTCTATACATACATAAGCTATGACAAATCCTAATTTATTAATTGAGCCCATTAAGAGATTAGCAACAATAGCAAAATAGAACAGTTATTCACTTTGTTCTGTAATAAACTATTTTCCATGTTGAAAATAAAAGAACAATTAAACATATAATAGGGGCCAGCAAGATGCTCAATTCATAAAGATGCTTGCCACTAAGCCTCACTACTTGGATTTGATCCCTGGGACTCACATGGTGAAAGGTGAGAACTGACTTCTGAATGTTGTCCTCTGATCTTCACTCCCACACTGTGACACATGTATTATTTGCACACACACACACACACACACACACACACACACACACACAATATAATAAAATTTTAAAACACTATTATAAAACCTGTGTGAACATGGCCTTTTAGCAACCTCAACGTACAATTTTAAGATTGTATTAAGTAAAAAACTTAGACCTTGTTGTTTTTTAGACAGGAGTTTTCTTTTTTCTTTGTAGCCCTAGCTGTCCTGGTGTCTCCCAGTTTCGGTCGGTACCCCCAATGTCCAGTCCAGTTTCTGCAACACGCAAGAGGCTTTAATGAATAGGAATTGTTTGCTTAAACAGGTCCTCAGCACGCAGGCTAGATAGAGAGAAGCCCCCTTCCCCGGTCACAGGTGTCTTTAAAGGTAAAACCCACAAGCTTAGAGAGGGGGTGTTACCCTCTGTCCATTGAGTACGTGACCCTTTGAGGCTAGATGGTCTCGATATTAGGGTCAACAGACCTTAGGGGCTCAGGGTGTGCTAATTAATCTTGTCTGGGCAAACCAGAGGTACAGTTATCTCTTTGTTTCTTAAGGACTCTATTTACCACCTGCTGACTCACAAGAAAGGAGGGGCAGTGTGAATTCTTGGTATCTTGTTATCTCAGAGCCTTGTGAGGGGAAGTTAGCAAATTCCAAGGAACTGATATTGGTCTGGGTTAGCTTTCCAGGTCAGTCTGTCCTTCATTTCAAGTGTGGGTGGGTTTCCTTAACTTTACTTTTTGTCTTTCACTGGAACTCTCTCTGTAGACAGGCTGGCCTTGGACTCACAGAGATCCACCTGCCTCTGCTTCCCGAGTATTGGGATTAATGGTGATCATGCTTGGCTCAGAACTGGACCCTTTCAAGTAAAGGAAATACTTTACCTGATGCTTCTCTGAATTGTCAGCAGCACTGCTCTTGTGCTTTGGGGCTATCATTGGGATAAGGGCTACTTGAGCACTAGCACTGTGATGGTGTGATGCTGCGGTAGTTGATCTGCTAGCACAGCTATGGTAGCTGACTGTCAGTCATATACAACATGGGCGTGCTGGACTGGGATAGAGCAGCATGTGTGATATTTCATGCTCTTCAGCACAGTGTGTGACTTTAAACTATGAATTGCTTTAATAAACTTTCATGTTTCAGACTATGGTTGACTGCAGGTAACAGAAAGCAACATTGCAGATAAGTGGAGACTAATATAGCCACTCTGCTGAATACCTGGAATGTAATAAACATCAAACAAATGAGCATTGAAACTGTGTGTACTCATCTCAGAAGTGCTTACACATGGCAGGAACTTCCCTAATATTTATCGGAAGTAGTCCATCTCATGTTTAGGGAAATAAGCCCTGTCGGAAGCTGACTTTGAGGGGCTGCAATCAGAACCAGCCGAGCAGCCCTAAGTTCATACCTGAATGGGAGTGTGTGGATGAGGGAAAAGCTAGCTACAGACGGTAAAGGAAAGACAGAGACAGAAAATCAGGAGGGCAGATTCAGTTAATACTGAATTGCCACGAGTTTATTTTTCACCACTCACAAACCTTAACCAAAAAGGGGAACATGGTATCATGTATACGGAACAAACAGACTTTTCTTCCTCCTTTCTCTAAGGGTTCAGTAACCACACCTTAGATCCAACTTGAGGGTCAGGAGTAGCCACACCTCAGATTCAGGTCTGTTATTATTTAGAGTAAGACAGCCAAATACCCTATTGTAGCCACACCTTTGACCTTTAGATCTTATGACTTGCTAAGGATAGTTTTGAACTCTGCCCTTGAGCCAAGATGGAGTGCAGCCATCTCTATGGGCACCAACAAAGCCCCCCATCCTAAACTGGCATGGCCCTTTATGGAGGTGACAGGTAAGCTATCCTTTCCTCCTGCTTTCCATGTTGTCCCTCTGGTTCCCATCCAGGCTTGTTGTACTTGCCTGGAGATGCCTGCCCTATTTATGGTGCACATGGCCTGGAAGACTAGCCTCAAGAGAGATGTTGACCTAGAAACCTCTTGCTGTCTTCCTTTTGACCTATTAACTCTGATGTGGCTGTTGTGTAACCCTCTGTATTTGCAGCTGAAGTGGGATCTGCTTTCTGCTCTAGCTCCTAGACTAAGCAGTGTAGGCATCCTGTGGATGTCCTGAAATTATTATGGGTACAGGTGCTGATGTACAGAACCATGGTCTCCAGAAGCCTCCCAAGAGCTCTTCTATCTTGAATTAGTAAGTGACTAGCACAGCCATATGTCATAGGAACAACAAAAGTCACAAGGCCATCACAGCTGTTTGACAAAGACCCAGCAAGGCTGAACTACATGATGGCCACCGTGCCACCTTTGGTTTTCATCTCTCCATAATACTTAAGGAACTCCTAATATTTGTACAATTTGGGGTTATCAGATTGATGAAATTTTCATATGGATCATCCATGCCTTCTCCCAGGAGTACTGCTTCTAAGCCTACCCAGGAAAGTCCTGAACACACTACCCATATGAGACACTCTTGAAAATCTGTCCCTGTACTTACACAGGAACAAGATACTCAAAACTAAGTAAACTCAAAAAGATCAACAAGATTCAGTGGGCTAGAGGAGTTGGCTACAGAACAGATTACAAATCTCTTCCCACTATACACTCAGGCTATTATGTGGCATATACAACAACAAAGTTAGATTAACTAAGGTTACCTCTGCCCTATACAGAAACTTACATTGTTGGGCAAAGAATGATGTAAAAAGACTATATAAATATGAGATGTCAGGACCTACCATTATTAGAAAAGTTAGCTCATGAAGAGCCACTATGGTGTCATATGACCAAAGGGCAACAGAAGCCAGGATTAGACATATAATAAATTTTATAAAGATATAACATGTAAACATCGTGTTATGCCAGAAATTGGGTAATAACTGCAGCAGCTTTGTCTGAGGATTTTTCCTGGGCCATTAGGAGTTAATAATACACTGCTTGGGACATGGCAATATTTCCGTTTTGTTTTGGTCTCGTGTCCTTGTAGCCACAAAAGCTACCAGCCTGAGAATAGGCTGTCACATGCCTCTAGATTCTTAAAAACTGGGTTATGGGGTTAAAGAGTAAGAATGATTATAAAACACAACTGTTTATCAGTTATGCCAAAACTGAGGGAAAATGATTGGAAATGTAGTTTATTAATGATGACTAAAAGATGAGCAAAAGGAAATGAAACACATGTCCAAAACCAAAAGTTATGTGATATATGTTTTGGAACAATATGAATGTATCCCTACTTACTAAATTCTATATAAATAAAGAAGTACTCTGGCTGCTAGTCAGTCAGGCTACAAGATTCTGACCATCATCATGGCCTGGCTCACCTCTTTCTCCCGCCAACTCCTTACATCCTCTCCTGGGACCTGTCCACCACTGTGGGTAGTTCCCAGCAAGTGACCCATTGAGATAAAATTGCCTTAGGGCAGTAGAGAAAAGGTAACCCAAATAGTGGAGTTAAGAATGAACTTCAGAGTCAACAAGATGGCTCAACAGGTAAAAGGTGCCTGCCCCTATACCTGATAACCTGAGTTTGATACCTGGGATCCACAGGACCCACAGGGTGGAAAGAAAGAAGCAGTTCCTGGGAGTCGTCCTCTGACCTCCACATGGGCATAATGACAAGCAAACCCACACACATACCAAATAAATAAGGAAGTATTAAAAAACAAAAACATTCTCACCAGCCTGGGACAGGGTAATGGAAGAGAACTTGCTGTCTAGCATATGTGTGACCCTTGACGATAAGCAAACCAGACACTTCTCAACATGGAGTTTGAGAACTGTCTAGGCAGTCCCCGCAGAAGGCCCTGTGACAGGTTCAAAGTCAGACTGTGGGGAGGAGACCCTACAACACCAAATTCCAAGAGATTTTACATAGTTTCCATCTTCTCCTGCTACCTCAACCTTTGTTTACCTCAGAACCTGCTCAGGGCTGATAAGACCGATTTATTTATTTATTTGTTTATTTATTTATTTATTTTTGAGGCATGGTTTTTCTGTATTGCTTTGGAGCCTGTCCTGAAACTAGCTCTCGTAGACCAGGCTGGTCTTGGACTCACAGAGATTCACCTGCCCACAGTGAGCTGGGCCTTCCTACATCAATCATCAATCAAGAAAATGAACTTAACGTTGATCACAAACCAATCTTGGAGGGGAATTATCTCAATTGAGGGTCCCTCTTCCCAAATGACTCTATGTTTGTGTTCAGTTGACGTAAAACTAGCCACCACTAACTATAAATTGCTATTTAAAAGGCTATGGGGGAGCCAGGCGGAGGCAGAGGCGGGCAGATCCTTTGAGGTCAGGGCAGCCTGGTCTGTGTAGCAAATTCCAGGCCAGCCAGGCTACACAGTAAGAACCTGTCTCAAATAACAATGATAGGAGGCCAGGCATCAATCCCAACACTCCTGAAGCACAGGCAGGCGGGTCTCAACTCTGGGCTAGCCAGAGTTACACAGTGAGAGTCATACCAACAGAGCTTTCAAGTGCCTTGTCCTGTCACTCATCCTTGGCTAAAGGGAAACAGATGCACCTGAGGACAGGAGCCAGTTAGAGGCCCCATCCCTGTGCTTTACTACTACTACTCTGACCCAGGGCAGTCCTGCATGGCTGAGCCAGCATCTAGGAAAGGCAGAACATGTATCAGATGGGGTGCTGTGGTGGTTGTGACAACGACAGCTCCTTTCACTAAGGCCTGGTGGTTTTGAAATCATCTTGGGTAGAAATGTCCTTCAGGGATTTTCTAGCCTCCAAATATCTTATAGAATTCTGCAGGTTTGTCAGAACAAAACATTTGGGTCTGAAATTTGCAATTTTGCTTGGGAGCCTGCCTTGCATCTTTTTAGGCTGCTGTAGCTACTGCTGGTCCAGAGTCTGAAGCCACTCTGCTGGGCTACTTGGCACAGCTCACCAGGTTCCTTAGCTGCTGTCGCATTGCTTCAAGGTAGGGCAAGTAGGGCCTGATCCCTGCTCTTCTAGCTT